GTTAGCGTCGCTGCTAACGTCTGCACGCGACTGCGGCTAGCTTCCGCGTGTCTGGTATTTGAGACGGCCTGCCCGCATCGAGCGCGCTCCGTTCCTCGATGCGATCGCTTCGCACGCTCACTCGCCCTCAGCCTGAGCACAGCACAACATGCCGTCTAAATCACGTGGACTGAGGACCTCGACAGGGTGGTAAGTTCACGCAGATCAAGCATGCATTAATTACTGTGAAAGCAGAAGCTCGAACCTCTCTATGCACAGCATCGTAAGCGCATTGCTAACAAGTGGACAGCTTGACATGCCGCAAGCGCAAGGTCAAGTGCGACGAAAGCCATCCAAGTTGCAAAAACTGCGAGAGAGTCCAACGAGAATGTGTATATGCTGAGAGGACCCCAACACCCCGACGCCCGCGAGCACTAAGTGCGCGTGACGTCGACGTGACCGCAGCTATTGGGGACTCAGCGCCATCAAACAATGAGACCGAGCCTGGGTCTGTAAGCATTCCAACGCTAGGTTCAGAGCCTGTGGAGCCGTTACAGTCGTGGCCCTCATTCCCCGCAGAACCGCCGGGGCTCACTGAAAGTATACTACCAAACGATGATTTCTTCCTTGACGACAGTCTTTTCACCTTCGGGGAAAGCTTGGCGCCTAATTTTGGACCTGTCGAATGGTAACATCGACCCGCTTATTGAGATTGACATTGGCTAAGATCTGATAGGTATGATCTACTGGCGGAAGACGCGATCAACAGTATGCAAGGGCAAACGAATAGCAATCGCTGGAATTTCGATATTGCAAGTTTATCAAGAAGACAATCCCCTCGGCAATCCGTCGCTCTAGCAGGCGACGATGACCCTTTTGGTAGCGTCAACGTTCACACAGTCGCAATAGCAGAGCAACCATGGAATACGGAAGCAAGGATTGAGTTGAAGCGGCAAGAGCTGACGTACTTTGAACATTATGTCAGTGATGTAGCACCCATCTTGGATCTTTTCGACCCAGCGAAACACTTTGCGAACGTTGTTCCCCACCTCGCCTTGCATAACGTAGGTCTGCTCAAGTCCTTGTTGGCAGTCGGTGCTTGTCATATGGCCCTATCCCAGGATCAGGATGTCGGCAATGAGGCTGCTTCTCAGGTTCAACCCGGTACGCCCGCTTCGTCTTCTAGCCCATCGTCCACTCCACGAAGGGCTGCCGAACAACTATACTATGAGACACTGCAGTATCTGTCGCAGAATATATGGCATCAGTCATATACCAATTCTCGCGAAATATTGGTCACTGCTACGATGATCTCGACATATGGTAAGCAATGTTTCCATGCGAAAAGCGTGTGCGAAAGGTACTAATCACATGTGCCAACTCGTAGAAATGTTTGGTACGGCTGGTAATCCCGATCATAGCAATTGGGACCGTCATCTGAGAGGAGCTTTCTGGATACAAAAGAACGCAGGCGCAAGCGGCGAGTCTTCCGATAGTCTGCAACGTGCAGTTTGGTGGGCTTGGCTGCGGCAAGACATCTGGGCAGCTTTCCGTACTGGACGACCAGCACTGACAATACATCAGCCCAAGGTACCGATGGTGGAACTCACGTCGGAAGGACTGGCGACACGCATCATATATATCGCCGCAAAATGTGTCCAGTTCGCGGCAGCGCCGAAGCAAGGGGACATAGCTGGCTACATTGAAGCAGGAGAAACACTGCTACGAATGCTAGATGCTTGGAAAAGTCTCCTTCCATCAAGCTTCGAGCCCATACCTGTGGAGACTGGACCCACCGCATCATCTCCAAGTTCGACACTCGAAGTGAAGCCGACGCCGATTTGGATACACCCTCCCGCACATGCTGCTGCTATCCAAACCTACCACTTTGCGCGAATAATCATGATTCTCAATCAGCCAACGACAGGAGGTCTCAACACGTATCAAACTCGATTCAAGCTCCTTCGCGAAAGCACGTCGACAATATGTGGTATTGCTTTGGCGCAGCAATCGCAAAACTCCCCTTCGGCCTTTGTCAGCTTCCAGGCTATCTATGCAGGTATTCATACCAGCCCTTCGTACATGAACAGATTACTGACTTGACATCAGCGGCACTCTGTATGGAGACACCAGATCGACAAGCGGAGATACTGGAGATTCTCAGATCCGTCTTGAGCATAAGCAAGTTTCCGTCGGTCTCGATACTAGATGAATTGGTCAATGTCTGGAGTGGGAAGTCACAGTGATGGGACTAGTTGGATCTCTTCACAATGCTACACGATTATCCATGCAATCGTTCTAGCACTTCTCGCTAGACGACGTATCCCATGCTGTACCAGAGAGGCACAGCTACAACTAGAGCAGCACATATGCGGAACCCTTGTCTCACTTCAGACGTCGCTTTGATTGTTGGAACATGACGCACAACTCTGGGGCCTTGCCGACGAAGCTATATGGAGTATCGGCAGACCTGGTGGTCTCGCATCGAGCGCCAATCGGGTTTGGCTCTGGCCTGCATCGACTACGCTAGCGCATCGTACTGCCTTTTCGGGCCGTTTTGGTGGTGACCATCACCACCTTACGCAGAAAGGCTCGAATCGAGTACTAGACCGCATCACATCAAACCGGTGAGATCACTTGCTTTGGTCGTATTGCGACTTTACCAAGTCAAGGGCCGCAAGCCTCTTATCATCACCAGGGTCCACGCAGCAAACCGATGAGAACGCTATATCAGCATTCCCGTCTCCATATCGCTTTGGCAAGAGTTTGCCGAGCATGATGGCAATTGATCGTTCGAAACGCTGGCCTTCTCCTATCACCCCGGAGTTTGAGGAACAGGTCAAGCAATGTCAATATGATGAAATTTGGTTCACGGGGCCTCACTGTCGGACCTCAACACTGCATCGGGTTTGCTCCTGACTTTTCAGTGACTGAGAGGTGATCCCATTTCAAGCTTTGATCAGTAGCTTTCTGTAATTGGGATTCTTTCGCTCAGTAGCAACGATAATTGTCATCGATAGCGCACTCTTAATCCAGTTTCGTCGAAGCTCTCGCTTCATGGTTTCTCACATTTCGCCAAGCGCCAATACATACGAAGGATCAGATTTCTGGACGAATTCCGGATGACAACAACTCTCCGAAATGCTGTCACATCTGTCTGGAGCAACCAGCCATGGTGACACGCACTCAACACATTCGTATTTCCACACGTACAACAATCACTATAGGCTAAAGACTGACGTATCAGTTTACGGATATGGAAACCGTCACCTTATTGACGTCCCTTCATTCGTTGTGTTTCATGTTGCTGACGGACACGGCCGGTGCTGCACAGCGTCAGCACCTTAACAAGCGGCTGCATACCCTCCCTTTCCAGGTTTCCCCACACGGCTCCGTTTAACCTTATATTGACGGAACAACCTCATATGAACGCGATTAACTCTGCATATGCGCGATCAAAGGACATCGGCCTTGTACACCCCGGATATCCGCTCAGCGCAGCATGCAGCCGTGAACAGGGAGCAGTCAATTACACTTTGGGCGACTGCCGCCTGACTTCATCTCCCCTCACTCATACTCTTCCAGCCTTCATAAACGTCGAGCAACATCACCAGACTTCGCCTCGATATTGCGATCGCTATACTGGCATGGCATACCGCTGATTCTGCTTCTATAGCAATCTAAAATCGTCCCCATGACGATGTGGGGTTACGTGCTAATTGGACCTGCGGGTGATTAACGAAGCTGTTGTCTGTATGCCGTGATGATAGCTTTACCCAGAGTACACGTCCTTATACAGACGCGAAAGACTACACTGACACATATAAAGTCTAGATGAAGGACTCGAGAGAACGAGCATCTGCTCACGAAACAACAGATTCAATCTCAACTAGTCATCTACCTGAGCTCTGCTTACCGCATCCACGATGAGGTATACGACCACTGCCGCCACTCTTCTTAGCCTCGCGACCACCTTCGCGCACCCCTCGCCTTCCGCCGACCCCCTTCGTATCCTCCCACCGAACTGGTCGTTCACCATCTCCTCCATCCGCGGCCCAGGCTGTCCAGACTCCGGCAAAAACGGCACAGTCTCGCGCACCACGCGCCCAACCTTTGGCTCCAACACTGTCGATGGCAGCGAGATCTACTACTGGTACATCGCCTACCCATGGATGCGTGTCGATCTCGAGGCCGGCCCCCGCCATACATGGTGCGAGACGACGCTGGCATACAAGGAGTACAACGATTTCGATAAGACTGCTGAGGCAGAAGACTATAAGCTGAGGCTGCACAAGAACGGTACAAAGGGCATCATGACGTACGAGCTTGATGAGGGAGTGCAGGTCTACTGGGACTTTGCTTACTACGTGGGCGAAGGGGTTGGAAGAACGGAGGTACGTTGTTCATGATACTGAACCCTCCAATAGTCAGACCATGTACTGACTCTTCCAATAGGTCGCCGATACCATTGACCTGATTGGTCCTGCTTCATCTGGCCCGTATGCTCAAGAACACTACTCCAACATCAGTTACCCACCCGAGCTTATTCCTCAGCCTGATTGCGGAAGTGGTACGTTCACTTTCCGCACGGAGATGTGGGTACAAGGCAAGGAAGGTCAGAAGGGTGTGGTAGATAGCGAGCATTCCTACAGCGAGGCGCTTGGTGACCAGTACTATGGCGCGCAGCAGGGGTTCAGTTATGATTGGGAGAAGTGCACATAAGGGTTATAGGATGAGGGCTACGCTCGGAGATGAGAGGGGCAAGATTTACAATGGCCGCAGGGGAAAAGTTATTCGCGTTATGTAAGATCGATGTGTCCAAAGAATATCAGTCGTGTTTTCAGCATCCTTCCTGTTTTCAAACATGCTGGTGTGGTGTTCACTCTCACAGTGAGTTTTCATCGTTGACCAGCGATCTCGGCGTAGCATCCATCATGATTACTTTGCATGATGCTATCGGGAATATCATGAGTTACACGCGTTCAGTATCAACGCTAGAATACATTGATCGTACATATCAATCATCGCTCTGCCAACATGTTCTTGATCTGCCGCCAGTAGCTGCCGTCTACCTCCTTCTGCAATTCGTCCTTGGCTAGCCACTTGAAGTCTTGAAGACCAAGCTTGTTCTCCTTGAGGTTGACCTGGCCGGCCATGATGCGCGCCTTCAGGAAGAAGGTCTTGGAGCCGTACTCCTTGAGGTCGCCCGTGGGCTTCGGTTCGCGGTAGTCCACTTGGTGGTGGCCAACTGGCACATGGCCGACAAGCCAAGTGTTCATGTTGATGCCACCGGTGTGTGTGATGATACGACTCGCTGCCTGGTAGTTGTTAGCATCTCAGTAGATATCCATAGGATGTGGTATTGCGTACACCGTGCAGATTCTCCTCCTTCAAGCGATCCTGTGGAAACTGCCATTGCCCCTCCTTATTCTTAACAAGCAGGTATAGCGTTCTCTGAAGCGCGCGATTCAAGCTCTTTGTATCGTTTTTCTGGTCCGCTTCTGTTATCCTCGGCATTGGCCTTTCTACGGGCTCGCGCTCCATCTTCTTTGCGCCAGTGGTGTCCGATGCGTCCTCCAGGCCAGATTGCTCAGCGTCCTCGATCAGCTTGCCAACCTGGTGTTCAAAGTCGCTCTCTTGTGCTCCTACGAGGAGCTCGTCATTCCATGCTTCGTCTCCGTAGCCTTGGTATCGTCCGATGTCGCGGGCGGGGGTCAGCCGTTGCTTCATTTTCCGTTTCCATTCTAGGTCTGCAGGTGTTCGCTTCTTTACGTAGAAGTATCTTGTGAAGGGCAGCGCAAGTCGTTCGTTCAATCGTCGTTGGTATAGGAAAAAGGCAGCTTCGAAAGGGTGGAGGTCGCGTGTTATTTGCGGGGGGCGGGACAGAACGACACCAGCGTTGACAGCGTAGGATGTTGACGGCGATACTTGGGCAACGGGAGGAATGTGTTGGGCGACTTGGTCCTCGGTTTGGACGGCGGCGGCGGCAGCGGATGCATATGTGCGGGCGACGGTGTCTCTACATGAGCGACATATTGATTGACCTTCGTTCGTCAGCGCTCCAGTTGTCTCTAGCCCCAATTGCATCCCATACCGGCTCGTGAGGCCAATCGCCTCGTTGTCTGCTGTCCGACGTTCATTTCTCCCAGTGCCCTCCGCGGTATCTCGATGCAGCCGCTGCCCTCTCGAGATCTCAGAAAAGTTCGGGGAGCGGAGGTGCATTGGGTCTAGCGGCATTACCTAAGCAGATATTCCAGTTAACTTTTCTTCGGCGCGAACACCATCTCTTCTTCTCTACGGCACCTATCCTTATCCCCAGCATACTCGCACTGTCATGAGATCCTGGTCATTTAACGGTGCCTAGAGGGAGTCGAGCAGTCTTTTTCGCTAGCGGTACCTTCACAAATCCTAAGGTGTACGGCTAGATAGATTTTGCTCACATTCTTACGCGCTCAACGACCTTATACGCTTGCATGCTTATCTATGTGACGATGGCTATGTTTAAAATGGCACAACAGTCAGCTTATCCGCTGGCTCATGAGTTGCGCGCGACTATGTATGCTTTCAAGCAGAGCTGGTCTTAGGTCTACCGTAACTATCGCCAGAATAACGTTGGCGGCTGATAACTTCACGCGCCTTTGCCCCCATTCCAACCCCGAGAAGGCGCACGATTAAAGACACAAGTGACGTAGCGTAGTTTTACACATCATCTCGATGTATCACATCTGATACCTTACTCCCGGGACAGTTGAAGGTGCATTATCGGTGTTTCCTTCCCCCGATCTCCAAGTCTTGGCATCGAAATTTGGGACTGGACGCGTTCTCGCCGCGCAGAGCTTAGACGCAGGCACACCACCACAACTCTGATACCCCTCACACGCCGCCAACATGTCTCTCACGATACCCAACGCTCCTAACGCCGGCTTATTCAAGCAGGGTTACCAGAAGTATGGCCCTTTGCAACCCCGCAATCACAGTAAACAACCAGCTAACCACCCCGCAACAGCTACGACGCCGAAGATGGCGCTGTTATTCGCAACATCGACGCCTGCCGGACGATTGCCCAGACCGTTCAGACCTCTCTCGGGCCCTATGGACGCAACAAGATTGTCATAAACCACCTTCAGAAAATGATCCTTACCTCGGACGCAGCGACGATATTGCGAGAACTCGAGGTTGTACACCCTGCGGCGAAGCTTCTCGTCATGGCCAGCCAGCAACAAGAGGCAGAGATGGGTGATGCGACAAATCTGGTCATCGTTCTGGCCGGTGAGCTGCTGAAGAAGGCGGAGGAGTTAATACGGATGGGCCTGAAGACAAGTGACATTGTCTTGGGTTACGAGAAAGCACAGCTTGCGGCTCTGCAGACACTGGAGGGTATGTCACTCATGCACACTGGCAGCTAAATCAGGACTAACCTATCGCAGAACTGGTATGCGACAAAGTCGAAGACATCCGCTCGCAGCAAGAACTCAGCAAAGCCATCCGCACCGTAGTCGCAGCCAAACAGTCGGGCAGCGAAGACTTCCTCGCTGACCTCGTCGCCGAAGCCGTTCTCGCCGTCCTCCCCAAGAACCCCGTCAACTTCAATGTCGACAATGTCCGCGTAGTAAAGATCATGGGCGGTGCCCTGGAGCAGAGCAAGGTCGTCAAGGGCATGGTTTTCGCAAGACAGCCAGACGGTACCGTCACAAAGGCGACAAAGGCCAAGGTCGGAGTCTTCTCATGTCCTATCGACATTTCCCAGACTGAGACCAAGGGCACGGTACTATTGCACAACGCAAAGGAGATGATGGACTTCACAAAGGGCGAGGAGCAGCAGGTGGAGCAGGTCATCAAGGAGCTCCACGACTCCGGTATGAGGGTCGTTGTTGCTGGCTCGACCATCGGAGAACTGGCCCTTCACTACCTCAACCGCTACAACATCCTCGTCATCAAGGTTCTCTCCAAATTCGAGCTTCGACGGTTATGCAGGGTAGTCGGTGCTACGCCGCTCGCTCGTCTCGGTGCACCTATGCCAGATGAGATGGGTACTATCGACGTCGTTGAGACACTGGAAATTGGCGGTGACCGCGTCACAGTATTCAGACAGGAGAATGAGCAGACACGGACCGCGACTCTGGTTCTACGCGGCGCTACTCAGAACCACCTCGACGACGTTGAGCGGGCGATTGACGACGGTGTCAACGTGGTCAAGGCCATCACCCGTGATCCTCGACTGGTCCCAGGTGCTGGAGCAACAGAGATGCAGCTTGTTGAGAAGATCAAGGCCATTGCGGACAAGACATCCGGTCTGGCGCAATACTCTATCCGCAAGTACGCTGAAGCTTTCGAGGTCATTCCACGAACTCTCGCAGAGTCAGCCGGTCTGGACGCAACTGAGGTTCTCGCCAAGCTGTACGTCGCACACGCTGCACAGAAAGGCAGGAAAGACGACGAGTGGACTGTCGGTGTCGATATTGAGAACGACGACAACACCGGTACACTCGATGCCAAGGAAGAGGGCATTCTCGATCTCTGGGTCAGCAAGATGTGGGCCATTAAGCTCGCTACCGAGGCTGCGAGGACGGTTCTCAGTGTCGACCAGATCATTGTCGCAAGGCAAGCTGGTGGACCCAAGATGCCTGGAAAGGCGCAGCCGGGCAACTGGGACCAAGATGATTAAACTCCGTTGCCGGTATGAGGGGTAGTGTATAATGACATCGACTAGACGCTATTGAAGCACCAGACGAATGATATCTTCGTTCTACCTCACCGGGTTTCGGCTGTTCACGTGTCACGTATATCAGGTATGGAAGTACCGAATCCTTCTGAGCGAACCCGACCAACATTGGAGCTGATGTGATCATTTGTCCGGCTTCTCGGGCACTCGTGGGGTTGTTCTTAACATGATGTCTCTTCGACCCAAGCTACCAAACCCAGAGCTCGTACCAGGATATTTCTCCGTTGGCTTTCATTGGATTACGAACATGAGGTTTGTTTTTCTTCTTCAGCTCAGTTCTGAGCTCACATACGGTCCTTGTGTGGTCTTACTTTGATCCTGGTCTAGCTGGAAACTTGCAGTAGCAGTCCAATCAATCCTCGCCGCGGAAGCGGCCTTATCTACCCCTCGTTGATTCTGAACGCAATCCTTCAGCCAAGAGCATGCAGAGTTTATCGATTCTTGCTCTAGCATTACAGCTATGTCAACCCTTACTGCAGACTTGCCCAGGGCCTGGTTGGCATGAACAGCAGACGTTGCTACCCGAGATGCATGATGCATCGGCACCTTGCTCCCACTCCCGCTGCTTCCATAGATCACGCGGTCCGTGTTTCGCGCTTGGCCCGACAGAGGCATGATCCGCGACAATGATGCAGCAGGATGCTGGGTGAACGCGACAGATCGCTTTCCTTCTTGTTCTTCCAGTATTCTTCTATAAGCATAATTTCCACGGAAGTGCCGAATCGCTTGGCGTCTGGCGAAGTATAAAAAGCCGCCCCTTTCGCCCCGGTCTATCTGTACGCCACATTCCTCGTGTTTTCCAACACATCGCTCTTCGCTCGATCAACGTACACGCGTCAATACCGAACACATCTACTGAGCACTTTGCTCAATGCGCAGGTCGTAAACTGTGGTATGGTCTTCAAATCTAGTTAGCCCTTTTTGACTAACTGTTCGATAGTCGAGAACATCATCAACGCTGTCCTGCCGAGCACCAATATCCCATTATCGCCCTAAAGTATCTCGCTGTGAGTTCCCTACCTACACCCATCCCCATCACCACATATACACACATCCACATATCCCCATCTTCACGTCTCCACATCCCCCCAAGCCGGTCTGAAACAAACCCTACGCCTCACGGTGCAGGTCCTTTGGTGTTAAAGTTATTTGTGTCACTTATTGTTACTCCATTGGAACGACTATAATTTCAAAATTATCTAGACTTGGACACCATTCCGCTTGAACCTCTTTTGAGGATCGCGATGAGAACGGCATACTTGTCGATCTGTCAGTCTGGGATGTTCAGCAGCCACTGCGATGGGTCCAGTCGTCTCTGTGTTCATCGATCTGCATGCATAATGCATTGATTGAAACTTGAGATGAGAGGTACCCATCGTGTCTTCTGCTGAACTCGTCGTTCACTCAATGTTATTCGATCTTTCAAAGATCTCTCAATGACCTCGTCGATACATCGTTATCACGTTGTCGCCACATCAATGTTACATATCATTTGATAGTATTCTTTTTGAATATCATCATCTGCTCGTCACGAGGTGGTAGTATCTCGCTTGTTGACCGGCAGCGAGATATTGTCATCTCTGGCAAACAAAGTCAGCACTCTTGAACGCCTTCAAGCGTATAGAGAAACCGACTGACCGATATAGATTGCCTGGTATGCAATCTCCAATCTCTTCTATGCGCTCAAAGCTAACTTTCTATAGAAGCTCCCTCTTACGCACCCACAGAAATCACCATGCGATATTCCCCTCCGCAGCAAAATGCGGACCTTGGTCCTAAGGGTTCAATCAGACTTCCGGCGACTAGAAGGAAGGCAATGAATTCGGTCACCCCCATTCGCAACGCCAGTGGGGTTCAGAAGGGTTGGAAAAGGTCCGCTTCAGCCAGGACCCACCCCAGGTTCCCGGTGGATGGTGCTCTCGATAAATTCAACTTCTCCATGCAAGAGGACGATGGCGCTAGCGACCATGGCGATGTAGGTATAGAGGGAGAGATCCGTGTGAGCTGCCCATTTCACAAGCATGATCCGAAGGCGCACCAGTTATCATCGTGCAAAGGGAAGGGGTATCTTGAGCTTGCCAAGTTGAAGTATGTCTGCGTTCAAAATCAGAACTCTTCACCGGCTTGGGTTCTAACACACAGCAGAGATCATTTGAAACAAGTACACGGGTTATCGCTGGAACGCCTCGATGCCGATTTCAACTTTAAGAAAAGAGAATACCGTAATCTCAGGACACTAGAGGAGAAGTGGAGATTGGTTTACCGCCGCTTATTTCCCGAAGAGGCCGAAGATTCCATACCTTTGCCTTACGCCAACGAAGATCGTGACCAGTATGATGGACTGGTCTCCGAGCTTGTGAGCGTTGCGGGTCGCCGGACAATGGGAGAGAAAGCCTTTCGAGACGGGGTCCTCGATTT